TTTTTTTTGGACAAAGACCCCCGCCAGTGATAGTGACGCTGATAAAAGCAGATACCACTGGCACCTGGGGTCTGGTCCCACCTACCGTTGTTGAGTTTAGAAACCTCAACAGTGTGACGCCATTTCGACATTAATAAATTTGAAACAAGAAATAAAAAAACTGAAAAAAATGCTAGAAACAACTTTTCTCCTTTTTTTTTATAACGTAATTGGGAGAAATGAAACATGTGTGGAACAGTCGGAGTGAATGTCTTCGTGAAAAAGGGATACTCCCCGTGGTGAGGGGACTGGAGGTCACCATCTGTAAAATGGACAGGGACGACGTGGATGGCCAAATGCATTCATTGCCCAAAGAAGGAAACGAGTTTGATGCCAGACAGCGAAACACAGCTGTCAGAGTTCCTCCGTTTCAGGATGCAATGAGGTCTAAAAAAAAAAGAAAAAGGAAAGGCACTGCAGTTGAGAAATGTACCCTACCCTCGGTAAGGTAGTTTTCTCAATGGAAAATGGCTTCCCGCCCAAACCAAAAAGGCCAACGCATACTACAAAACGGATTTCACGTCAAAGAAAAATTCTACAAAATGACTAAATCTAATGGGTTATTCTCTTGTATTTTGGTACCATTAGATTCGCAATACATCAACGGCAGAGCTCCGTCTCACCGTGCCACACGTGATAGAAAGCTCAGCGTTGAGAAAACTCAACGCTGTAGGTGGGAATAGGCCCCTGGACCATGGTCCCACTAGCAACTGGATAGGATAGAAAAGAGTTTGCGTGGCAGTTGAGTGAGCCAAATCCTGCCGTGCAGCCCTCGTGATCCCACAGTCAGTATTTATTTTACATGTATTACCCGAAAAAGTAAGGAGATGTTGGTTCCCCTCCTCCTCTCTACCTGGCCCAGCTATCGGTCGCAGGCCTTCCCATATACACGCGACAGCCTTAAGGGGGCTCGGCCAAGGGAAGGCCCGGTCGCTGCTTGAAGGCCAGGCCCCGGTACTGTCACAATGACACAAATGGTATTTCGAACGAAAACTAAAAAAAAAAATGAAATACAAAAACAAAGAAAACACAGAAAAAAATGGGACTTATGGAAGATCTCTTAGGAATGGGAGTGGATGGGACGCTGGACCCGGTTTCCAGTTTAAGCCTATG